ACATTTGTTCCACCTGATCTTCCCCCGTCTTTTCTCTTACTAACTTCCCCTTGATATATCATAATGAATACCGTGAGTGGAGAGGACAGATGTCAGACCCAAGCATTGGTGCTTAGGGAATTAATCGAAACCGATCATGAGTCCCTAGCCGTATACGCTAGAAATATTTGCGAGTTATTATCAACATCAGAGAATTCTCCTTCATGGACCCATCCCCATTATTCTCCCTTGGTCCCTTCATATATACCTGATTCTTCCCCCTTTTCTACTCTCCTAATAAGTTCTACGAATTCCATCCTAGTCTCTCCACCTTACTCACCCCCCCCCCCCCCCNGGAATTCATCCCCTACTTCCCCAGGATTTCTTTGGAACCTTCTTCCAGCTTCCCATTCCTCGTCACCCATCCGCATCCCTAACCCGTCCCTTTCTTCATCAACTTCATCCGATACTTCCTCCTTAGTTCCTCCTACTCCTAACTCGTTACTTTCACCTTGAATCTCACACACATACACACACACACGCGCGCGCGCACGCGCATATTTACATACACGATTACATGTTACCATTAGCGGCGGTAAAATTGTATCGATAAAATACATTCCCCGTTATAGATTTCTAATTACTTCATCAGTTTTTAATTGTAAATTACATGCTACCTGTTAGCTGATTTAATAAACTTCGAGATTATTAACACGTTAACTGCCACGCGCATTTCGGAGGAAATCTCCGTCAGGCCAAATCCATTAAAATTCTTTTATAAGAAATATTTAAATATATTAATTATACGATCCTGAAATTACTTATTAAACTATGTAATTTTTTAGTTTTATATCGTACTTTATACTGTCAGTCACCGGCGACTGACGCGGCACTCAACGTGTTAATTTACCTTTATGTTTTATTTTTATTCAAAAATCTTCCCGCGTTCACACTTTCCCCACTTGTTTCGTTCGCGGTCTCATTCCAGGTAAAATATCTAGGTACTTTAACCTAAATTAAGACCACCTTGCGTACATATGTGTCAGAGTATGATCTTTCCGATCACTGACCTGCACCGCTGTTGTCCGCGATTCGCATTGAATACGGTCTTTGCGTTCTCCTCTAGAACGTAACAATTTTTTTATAAATAAACTGAATTTTATGAAAAAGCACCGAATTAATTTGTACACCTAATATATATTTTAGACTAATCACGACCACCTAGCGGAGAAGTTCTTTTTCTCCACTCTTAAATGCTGATATTATATTCTATTTCAAGCATGGTCAACTTCGAGTTTGAGCCGCGACGCTTTTTCCTCCCCACAAAAATCTGTCTCATTCATAGACATAATATATCTAGATCGAGTGTTGCGGAGTGGGAGTCAAAGTAGAAAAAGATGTACTCAGTATTTTATGTTCCTGACGTTCTCTCTCGTTCGTGCAAATACACACATAGACTACGCGAGCAAGAGAGAACGCAAGGGACATAAAATAAAGTGCATTCTCTTCTATGTATTAGGTTGGTACAAGTGAAATGGCCGTTTTCAGTGTTTGAATTTCCCACCTCTATAGATTACTTTTCTTTCATATAGAGGACGGTGTACGAGGTTTGTTCAAAGAGTATCGCGAATTTTGAATTTCCGCGGGTTACATATATTCGATTTTCGATTTTTTTGTGGTGTTATGTTGGTACTCATGTCCCTCACTTATGCCGACAAGTTCGGCCATTTTGAATATTCAGTTTATCTTTGACAGCTGTTTTGCTTGGACGTGTTTTGGCTCGTCTTCGATTTTTGCCTATACCAAAAAATGAATCAAAGAATCTAACAAAATTAAGTGCGCGGACGCATTCCGAATGTTGACTGTGGCATATGGCGAAGCTACCTTGGACCGAAGCAACGTTTATCGGTGGTACAAAATGTTCTCAGAGGGCCGAGAAGATGTGAACGACGAAGAACGTGCCGGACGCCCGAGCACGTCAACAACAGACGAAAACATTGATGAAGTGAAGAAAATAGTATTGGCCAATTGTTGAATCACCGTTAGAGAAGTTGCTGAGGACGTAAACATATCGATTGGCTCGTGCCATTCGATTTTTACTAATGATTTGGGCATGAGACGGGTCGCCGCGAAATTCGTACCAAAATTGCTTGTGCGCGAATTTTTGGCCAAAAACAACACACTAATGATGCCGCAGCCACCGTATTCCCCAGACCTGGCCCCCTGTGACTTTTTTTTGTTCCCGAAACTGAAGAGGCACATGAAAGGACGACGCTACGCTACGATTGAGGAGATAAAGACGGCATCGAAGGAGGATCTGAACAAGATCACAAAAAATGTTTTTTTGAAGTGCTTCGAGGATTGGAAAAAACGTTGGCACAAGTGTATAATATCTGATGGGGATTACTTTGACGGAGACAAAATAGATATTCATGAATAATTAAATAATTTTTGAAAAAACACTAAATTCGCGATACTTTTTGAACAAACCTTGTAAGATTAAATTTTTGTACAAAAGTACTTTTCCGACAAACAGTTTTATATAACACTTCTGAATATTTTTAACATATAAATTTTTATGTAGATTAAACACTCAACCGGGCAACCTCCACATAGTACACCTTGGGAAATGCTAATGCCAACGATATTGTAACTTCCAAGCCCTATAACTCAAAAAATACTTAATAAAAAAATAATTCATTGTAGCCTTGTAACTCAAAAAATACTTAATGAAAAAATAATTCATTGTAGTATTTTGAAAAACTGTAAGAATATACAATGAAAAATGAGGATTTCCATTTAAGAAATTGAAGATGACCTTCACATGATCTTCAAACGTCTATTTAAAATCAAATCAATGACACCACCTTATGTCTCCCTCCAAGTTACAAAACTTTTGTATGAAAAATTTTTCTCTAAAATGTTTTGTTTTCGAAATATAAATTTGTAACATTTTAACTAACTCACTTTTATATATGTCGCATGGATATGATAAAAATGGAGATTTGATCAAATCTCTAAGATAGAAAATGGAGATTTGATCAAATCACGTATGGGGTGATTAGAGATTTGATGAAATCTCCATTTTCATCACTTCCCTGCGACATACAGATGATACAGTGTTTTTCCTTAGATGATTTCAAATTCATCTAGATGAAAATGAGATGAAAATCCAAAATTTTCATCCCATATGAGATGATTTTTCTTTTAATTTTTCTAGATAAAAGATAAGTGGCGCCACTTATCTAGATAATTTTTTTAATGATGTTTTCACGAGAAACTTTATAAAAATTTATAATAAAAATTATGCAGATCATAAAATTGTACAACGGTTAATTCGTCGACGTAATCGCTCTAAATTTAAGTATCTAACAAAAAAGACCATTAACCATTGCAACCATTGCTCACTCACAGTTGACAGTTTGATGCAGACTTAAAGTGGATTGATTAATTCAAACAAATTTTTTTTTAACTACACATGAATAAATTACAATCCGTCCTTGGGACATTCAGTAAATTGTTATGACATGATATAATAAATAACATGTTAGGTATGAATTCTGTGACTCATCTTTATAAGTGTCTAATTAATACATTATGATGTAAGTTAGTTTTATATCGCTGGAATATTTGGTTGATCGACTGAAACAAATGACCTGTTTTTTTTTAGTTCCACTGCTGAACTGATGCAATAAGTTAGAGGTAGAGAAGTATATTTTGTTACGTTCTAACTATTGCACCATTCCACATTCAGCAGTGCAGCTAAAAAAATATATCAAAGACGAAATCAAAATTTATTCATTCATTAAAATTTAATCTCCAATCCCTAGATACGGACTTAACGCATAGGTCCATATTATTTCATTTATTTTATCGAAAAATGAGTTCAGAATATGGACCATAACATTATTTCAGATGATTTTTAAATGAAACAACATGTTTTTCATCTATGATGAAGATGAATACATTTTACATTTCTTTCATCTAGATAAAGATAAAAAATCTATTTACTCATCTACATGATTACTTAGATAATTTTATCTAGATACTGACAAATACTGGATACAGATATATATGCTCTTTGTACCTACATGATGAGTCGTATATATGGGAACTATCATGTGTTCTTATTTCTGTCATTGGTAATTAATTGGATGTACCGATTAAAAAAACATTATACATTAGTGCAAATTAGAAAGAGGAATGTTTAACAAAAACTTTATCTTGTATTTCTAGGAAATATCAATTTATCAGAAGAAAGAGCTATAATAATAATAATCCTTGAAAGCTTTATAATTTTCTTTCTTACTACTAAGAGAGCTTCCTTACTACTAAGGCTTTTTTATTACTAAGAAATATAGAATTTTAAAACGTGGAATCAAATAGTGGCCTCTATAAATATCCACATTTTTTTGTCTACTCCCCGTATATTATATATATTGTGACGTGGCCGCTCGAAACGCCCGTCACACCGAAAAGGTCTTATCGCGGGTAAAGTGGCGCGCTCCCCGTAGGGAGCGCCTATTTAAGTCGGCGAGTTTGTTTTTATGTTTGTAATACAGCGAAGATTGCGCGCTGCGGGCGCGCGGGGATTGTCGAGGTGAGCCCCGCGTCCCCTCCACGTGTGTAGCCCCGCTCTAGATGGCGGCGAAAAGCGGACGAAGTACTAACCGCCGGGAGCAGCAGAGGCCGCACGAACCTACCGCTGGACCCCGATGGATTCGCCTTACTCTGGCCCTTTGTCGGCTAGCGAGGAGCCGTTAACCCTTTGCCTTACGATTTAACTTCCAACTGTGCGTGCCATAAACCACAACAAGGGTCGGTTACGCGTCGGGACATTCACGACTTGGCTGAGCGTTCTAAGTTGTACAAATCGCAGACGTCCTATGATTTGTATATACACCTGTATGGTACAATTAACTTTACATTGCAAGATGTTTGATAAATAATTACGATCAGTTGATTATTGAACAAGAGTGATTTATTGTCGCAAAGTGAATAATATATTAATAATAACATTTTCATTTTAATTTCTAAATAAACAGAACTAAGTCTGCAGCTCCGAATGCGGCAAAGAAAACTGAATGAATGTCATGCCCGTAGCCCGGTTAGCTCTAGAACGTCTCTGAGACGTTTTGTTTACATTTGGCACGGCCGCTCCACCACGTCTCTTACACGTCTTGTTCATGTTTGGCCCGGTCAGCACATCACGTCTCTGATACGTCTTGTTTATGTTTGGCCCAGTAGACTCTGACACGTCATTATAAACTAAGGGGTTAACGGCACCGCCGAGGCTGTCGTGTTCCGTCCCCTTGGTAGTGGGCCGAGGACGCGTACAGAGGACAAACAACAAACCGAGACCGCGGCACTGCTGCGAGCGATCGGGGCAGGAGGTGAGACGGCAGGCCACGAATCAGCCGCCGTCGATAAAGATCCGGCTGCGAGGGGAGACGGATTTCGAAACCACATGGGAAAAGGGGGACCTGCTTAAAAATCAGCAGGTCACCCCGACGGAGAGAGAGCTCTTCCTGGTGCGTAGCAAGCAAGAGTTAGTGATGAGGACAAGTTGGTGCAAGTGAGAGAGCGAGAGAGAGAGACCGAGTTACCGTGGGAGCCGAGTGGCGAGTGAGAGAGAGAGGCAGAGGGCGAGCCGGAGTCTGGTGAAGGAGAGAGCGAGAGAGGGAGAGAGATAGACAGAAAGGGCGAGGACGTGCCGAAGAAGGAAGACGAGCGACCCCCAAGAGCCAGCCGCCAAGAGCCCAAAATTGTAAGGCCGCCCATCCGCATTCGTTTTTTTTTGTATCGTAAAGCATCGCGGGGAAATCACCCCGCGGGTGTAGCGTGTCGTACCGTTCTCTCTACCTTGGCTCGGCAGCCGCTCAAAAGGCCAGCCACTCTACCGGCGGACATCGTGAGTCCGCCGCGGCCCGGACAGGGCTTGAAATTGTGTAACGCGAAGCGCTACCGCGTGAGCGCAATCTGTTGTCGAAATCGTTTTACCAAATAAAAGCGTACGTTACGTTACCGAAACCGCGGGACTGTAATTTCTTTAATCGATCTCGGCGTGACCCTACGAACAACCCCGCCTCCGACTTAACTCATCCCGGTTCCGATCGGGACGAACTCGGGTCGCGGGTTCGAAGCGCGGACGGCTTAGGCCGACCGCGTAGGCTGTCGTTTCGTGGGTGCGACCTGTGCGCACCTGGCGCCCATTCTATTCGAGAGGTCACTAGAGACCAGGATTCAATCTCGCGTTCCGGGTTTGCCCTGCGGTTTTTGCGCCGGCGATTCGGACGAACCGAACCTGAAAACGCGGTCGCAATATATATATATATATTTTTTTTTTATATTAGCGCCGGTATTACAAACATATATATATATATATATATACACATGTATATATACATATATATATATATATACACATGTAATATCGGCTGCTAATATTAAAAATATATGGATATCTTACGTTTAATTTATTCCTATCTATTAAGAAAAAGATAACGTAGGAAGTAAGGATTTTTTCGTTACTTACAAGTAACGGTAAAGCACTTTTTTTCAATCTGTAACGAATAATGGTAACGAGTTACTTTTTACAGAAAAGAACAGTAATGGTAACGCATAACTTAAAAAAAAAACTTTCTCAACCCTGATTAGTACATATATATAATACCATAACATATACCGAAGATTTTCATCCGTTACAATATGTATCCATATATTCAAGAAATCAAATATTATAAAAATACAATTAAATCTTATTCTAGTAAATTATATATTCCATACCATATATATTGCAAGGCTGGATACAACTTTTCTTTAAGTAGAGCATCATAAGCCATAACGTCGGCGTACTGCATATCGGTTAATATACAGTCAGAATTATATTTTCCTCCAAATAATGGCAATATATCTTTAACTGTATCGAAAGTATTCATACCAGCTCTAAGTAACGGTAATCGACCATTTGGTGTTTTAAATGGGTTACTGGTAAGATTTATTTTTAAAGGTATTCCACTGAATTTAGCATATGCCTATAAATAATAGAATATCATATTATAAAATAAAGCTGTTATTTTACATTAATTGATCATTAAAACATGTGATATAAATTTTTAATAATAAAAAAAACTAGAAAAATGACTTGAGATTTTCAAAGAATTTTTCTGTTTTTTACAGTATAGAAGAAAATAAGTGTTCGCCATAGAAAAATATCAACTATTGAAAAGACATATCAATTCATGAGAAGAAAGAGCTACAATAATAATTTTTTAAAGCTTTATAATTTTCTTAGGCTTTTTTACCATTTACATAATAAAGTAGTTATAATCATTTTTTAACATATATATGTGATCTGAATAGCTAAAGTATTGAAACATAATATTTTGCCACAATCAACAAATATTTAGAAAATATTTAGATTTTCACAAAATAATGAGTTAAAATAAGACTAATAACATTAGTTAGCTTTCTTCATATTTTTATTTTTGGTGTATTCTTTACTAGATAATAAAAACATTTTTGTATATTCACGTTTTGTATATTGCATAACTTACAAATGCATGTTCCTTCTTATATCGATCATATACCCAAATAACTAAACCTGTATAGACTCAAGCAGTTTGTTACAAATTTTTAATGACAAAAAGTGACATGTGACACAAGACTGCGCTCTAAAAAGAAACATACCTTTAGCTAACTGTTAATACCCATCGTTGATAAGACATATTCAGAAATAAGCTATTTTTCTTTATATAGGGTGTCCCAAAATTCACGCAAGATTTGAATTTTGCGTCATTTCGTGCGGTAAAGTGTTGCCAACGAAAAAAGAAGGCAGCGTGACAGTTGACAGTTCAGGGTTATTAAAAAAGGAGTGCTACACGAAAGAACAACACGTTTTCATTGTTAAGCAATATTTTAAAAATAATGAAGGTTTGGCAACTACAATTCGCAATTTTCGTACAAAATATGGTCGGAATAGTGATTTAACTTCATCAACTGTAAAGAAATTAATTTAAAAATTTAGGAAGACTGGATCAATTAGTGATCTTGCATCCACAACGTGTCACTGTTTGGTGCGAACTTTGGGCTGAAGGTATCATCGGACCATTCTTCTTCGAAAATGCGGCTGGTCAGACAATAACAGTTAATGGTACTCGCTATTGCGACATGATAATCCAGTATTTCGTGCCTAAATTGCAAGATATGGGTGTGACGACATGTGGTTTCAACAAGACGGTGCCACATGCCATACAGCCCGAGAAACAATTCAATTACTGCATGAGTCATTTCCTTTCCCGTTTTGGTGATCAGAATTGGCCCCCCAGATAATGCAATTTAACGCCGTTAGACTTTTTTCTTTGGGGTTTTTTAAAGTCTAAGCTTTATGCCCACAAACCCACGACTACTTTGAAGGAGGAAATTGAGCGCGGTATCAACGAAATTCAGCCACATTTATGCAAAACGGTCATGGAAAATTTCAACAAAGGAGTGCGTATGTGCCAGCAAAGTGGAGGCCGTGGAGGCCATTTACCCAATGTTATTCCATACATAACCCTATACTGTATACTTAATGAATCAACAAAAAATTTACAATTTTTAATAATAAACCTGTTTTCTATCAAAATTACTTCTTGCGTGAATTTTGGGACACCCTATATATAATCCTACTGTTTCCTGTGCGATCATTAGCTCAAACAGATTAATTAATTCCTCATTAACAATTGTGATTTTTGCAGAATGGTACATTTTCTTGTTCAGTTTAATCTATTCTACCTGCACACCATAGATCCCGAGATAATTATCAGACACTTTGTATATAAAATAATGCATGTTAAGTACTACAAGCTGTTTAGAAAATATTAGGGATAGTTATAGTTCTTTATTAATATTTTAAAGTTAACTTAGAGTCCTTTACAAGAAAAATATATTATTGGCAGACCTTCTAAGGGAGAGAAAGTAAAAAGAGAACTCTCTTTAATCTTTTAATACAATTATTTTTCTTAAATATTTCTCATTATTATGCATGTATAAAATATAAGGATAAGATCGCCCAAAATGAAATACTATGAGAGATATATTTCTTATTTTAAATCAAAATATATCTCATAAATTTTCACTTAAAAAAATTAAAGAGTATAATTGTATATTGTGCATTGGTATATGATTCAGTAAGCAAATTGATCGCAGACTGCATGCAAATTGGCAGCAAATTTTATCAGAATTCCACATCAAAACCATAGTCATCTCTCATATCTGACCATAATCAGTGTTCGCACTCAGCTCGTGTTTTGATAACTAAATCTGCTGACAGGCAATGCAAACAGATCGGCAGCAGAAACCGTGCAAAGCCTGCTACCAAATTTTCTGCAGCAAAATATGCTTGATTTTTGCCACCAATCTGTCGTCATATCGTTACAAGTTCTGCTCAATTTCTGCCACTAATTTGCTAGCATTACCTGTCAGCAGATTCTTTTGCACTTTTGGTTTGACAATATAATCTGATAGGTCAGATCCTATATTAGATTTGTTTTTCTGCCATCAAAATTTGTAGCAAGCTCTGCTCGAAATCTATTTGCGAAGATTTAGTTATTTGGATATATGTAAAAAATATCAATAAGTAAAACTATCAATAAGTTTTACAATAAAAGCAGATACTTTATCAAAAACATATATATGTACATGTTGTTGACAAAATATCTACTTTTATCGTAAGCTAGCCCATTTTGTATATGATTTTGTCACACACACACACACACACACACACACACACACACACACACACACACACACACACACACACACACACATATATATATATATATATATATAAGCTTAGCCAACATTTTTCTTTTCTAATTGTAAATTATTTAAAAATATATTATCAAAAAAATTTTTAATTGACTAAAAAAACCTATAAAAAAACAATGTTCTTGAGTTATGCTATTAAATTGAGGTTATACTCCAAAAAAATTAAAAATATTTGACTAAGATTATATTAATATCATAACTAGTGTGAGTATACTTATAACCTATATGCAAAATATACATACCAAAACTTGCAAACATTCTATGTTAACAGATGGAAGACCCCAATCGCCTTTCCATATATCTAATTGTAGCACTTCAACGTCAGTCATCTTTAGATGCATAAAAGAAATATACCGCCTACTCTAACAGATTTCTATCATGCATCATCACGGTAAACAACACTGTGCACAGTGTCGCCGGAAGGAAAAAAATCCTCACTATCAAAATGTATCAGATTCCGTCAAAATATATCAAACATTTAAGATGCGTTCCGTTTTATACATATGAGCGCATTTATCTATAGTATACGTAACAAAAGGGTACGTTCTCTTTGGACGCTTACGCGCTATAAGCGATTACAAGTGCTATTTTCAGCCGTTCCTTTTGGTTGTTAAGCACTTACGAATATTTACACCAAGTCGTTTCCTTTGATATTTATGAGCGGTTAATGTTGGTCCACATTAGGTATTTTAAGCCTTAAGCCTTAAGAAATTGGCTAATCATAGTTGAATGTGAAGAGAATAATTAACAATGATCAGACAATTTCTTAAGGCTTAAGGCTTAAAATACTTATTGTGGACCGACATTTATAAACGTGGTGGATAAAAATCTGATTTCAATATTATTTGCTCAAGTACCAATTTTATTAGAATTATTTGACAATGAAAAAATACCAATTTTTATAATAACGTAATGGAAAAGTATATGTTTCTAGGTAAACACTCCAGAAATCCGATATTACGATTATAAGGCTATGTTGATGAAGTTATATCATCTTATACTGATAAAAAAAAATACGTGATGCTTCCTTCGAGAAAATATAAATATTTGGTGGTTTCCATTTGATGACACAAGTCGCCACAAGCATTATTCTATTTTTATTATTCGTTAAATGCGGAATAAAGACAAAATGATGTTTGTATCGACTTGTTTCACCAAATGGAAAACACTAATTGTATATATATGTTATATGTTATATGTTAATTGTATATATATGGATATGTTTTCCGTTTCGATATCCTTTAGCTACATTGAAATCTTCCCGTTTGCCATGTTTATTTCTGTATCAATAGATCACGTTCTCTTTAGACACTTACGCGCTGTAAGCGCTCACGCTGCCCTACCTTGACAGGAAAAGCGTTTATAAGCACGAATTATAATGAAACAATAAGTCTGTTTGTTTTCACCTGAATGAGTGCTGGAACTAGTGCAATAAGTTGAAGCGAGACAAGTATATGTTTTCTCACTTCAACTTATTGTTGTTTACAGTAGTTCAGCAGTACAGTGAAAACGAACAGACTTATTGAATCATTACGCGTTCTGTGAGCTCTTATGCCCGTATCAGACTACTGATTAGGATTGAGTTGGATTGAAATTTAACCAATCAAAACGGTCCAATCAGAACCAAACAGAAAGTTCACTGAATTTAAATTTTATGAATCTTACTCTGATTGGTCAAATTTTAATTCAATTTCAATCTTAATCCGTAGTCTGATACGGGTACAATACCAAAGAGAACAATGAAAGCAATATTTATAACGGTGTCTACAATAGGTGCGTTCGCTTGCACGTATTAGACTACAGATTAGAGATTGCAATTGAATTGAAATTTAATACAAATAAAATCAATAAGTGCAAAATTCATTAAATTTCACTAAACTTGTGTTCAGTTAACTTTATACCGATTGGCTGACGCAAGTTATGCTTTCGCAAGTTTCGCAACATGTAATAGTACCCTTAAACTGCCTCCCATGTGACATAACTTGCGTAAGAGTAACTTGCATCAACCAATCAAATCCGCCGTGGTAATTGATAATTGGATAATTAAGACGATTTGATTGGCTGACACAAATTACGCTTTTGCAAGATACGTAGCATGTGAAAGCACCCTAAGGACGCGGAAATGCCCGCAGGACGTGCAAATGTTTGCCGCGCGGCAAGAAGCAACACGGTAGCTAATAAACTTAAAGCCGACCGCACGAAACGGTGATATATGCTACAACATAAGTTATATGATACAAGCGACGTGATACATACTTGTATCAACGTTAAACCTAACCTCGATTCCAGGTGAAATGTATTTTTATTTTCACCTGCGTAAATTTATTTCAGTTTGAGACGATACTGTGAATGAAAAAGAAAATCTTTGAAAAGGTGTATTAAATCTGATTAAAATTATGAGTGAACATAATTATTATCAAAATAATAAATCATCTCACAATAGTGAAAATGATGATGAGTTTCTTGACCAAAGTATTAATGATGATGACTTTGACATGGTTTTATTAACTCTTATGAAACAATACCCATGTATAT